ACGCATTAGTGAGTTGAAATGAGCTGGTATTGGCTATTTTGAATTGGACAATCATATGATCTACTATGCTTGGAATGACAACTTGAAGAGGAATGGCATTGCATTCATCATTAAAAAGAACATTTCAAGATCTATCCTGAAGTACAACTCTGTCAATGATAGGAAATATCCATACAGCTACAAGGAAGACCAGTTAGTACGACTATTATTCAAATTTCCACACCAAAGGCCAACGATGAAGAAATTCACTTTTACCAGCTTCTGCAGTGTGAAATTGATCGAACATGCAATCAGGATGCATTGATAATTACTGCTGATTGGAATGTGAAAGTTGGAAGCAAAGGAGGATTAGTAGTTGGAAATATGGCCTTGTTGAGAGAAACGATGCGGAAAATCACATGATAGAATTTTGCAATACCAACGACTTCTTCATTACAAATACTTTTTTCCAGCAACATAAACAGTGACTATACACATGGACCTCGACAGATGGAATACACAGGAACCAAGTCAACTACATCTTTGGAAAGAGATGATGGAAAAGCTCAATACAATCAGTCAGAATAAGACGGTGGACTGACTGCGGAACAGACCATCAAATGCTCATATGCAAGTTCAAGTTGAAGTAGAAGAAAATTAGAACAAGTCCATGAGAGCCAAAGTATGACCTTGAATATATTCCACCTGAATTTAGAGACCGTCTCGAGAATAGATTTGATGCGTTGAACACTAATGATGGAAGACCTGATGAAATGTGGAATGACATCAAGGAAATCATACATGAAGAAAGCAAGAGGTCATTAAAAAGACAGGAAAGAAAGGCCCAAAATGTATGCCAGAAGAGACTCTGAAACTTGCTCTTGAATGTTCAGTTGCTAAACTAAAACAAAAGAAAGAAATGATGAAGTAGAACTGAACAGAAGATTTCAAAGAGCAGATCGAGAAGACAAAGTATTATAATGACATGTGCATAGACCTTGAGATAGAAAACCAAAAGGGAAGAACACAGTCACCATTTATCAAGCTGAAAGAACTGAAGAAAAAATTCAAGCCTCGAGTTGCAACAGTGAAGGATTCCATGGGGAAAATATTAAACAATGCAGGAAACATTAAAAGAAGTTGGAAGGAATACAGAGTCATTATACCTAAAAGAACTGGTCGATGTTCAACCATTTCAAGAGGTAACAGATGATCAGGAACTGCTGATGAAACTGAAGGAGGAATTCCAAGCTGCACTGAAGGCATTCGCGAAAAAAAAAGGCTCCAGGAATTGATGGAATACCGTTTGAGAATGGGAATTCCAAAACACTTCATTCTGCTCATGAGGAATTTGTACTTGGATCAAGAGGCAGTTATTTAAACAGAACAAGGGGATACTGCATGGTTTAAAGTTAGGAAATGTGTGCATCAGGGTTGTATCCTTTCACCATACCTATTCAATCTGTATGCTTAGGAAATAATCTGAGAAGCTGGACTATATGAAGAAGAACGGGGAATCAAGATTGGAGGAAGACTCATTAACAACCTGCAGTATGCAGATGACACAACCTTGCTTGCGGAAAGTGAAGAGGACTTGAAATACTTACTGTTGAAGATCAAAGACCACAGCCTTCAGTA